GAACTGATGAGGATAAGACAAGACAAAACTATGGTCTAACTTCTTCCTTGTTACATTTTTTTCTCGTTAAGGTTCAAACCTCCTTTACATTGCAAATGCATATTCATTTTTAGAAGGTTCTTCTACTGCACATTTTCTGCTTTCTTAGGTTTTGATCCTTCCAAAAATCAACTGGCTTGAGACCAAAGAGTAATACACATTTCTTCTTTCCTAGTACCTGTAATATGATAGTAAATAAAACATGAGAGACAACATGACTTTGTGGCAGGTGTGCATCAGCTAGTGAACGACTTTGTAGCAGCTTTTGCAGACTTTTGTCCTCTAGTGCTCATCCTCATCCCCTAGACCTATAGTTCAACCTTAATTGACCAACTAATCATTCTTCTATATTACTTCCTCTATTTTAAAATTATAGTTGTTTTGGAAAATAAAATTTATTTTAAAATAAATGTAATTTTTACTTTTTAATATAGAAATGATTGTTATTTTTTTAATTATGTCATTTAACTATTATTCTCTACACTACTTTTAACACATTTATAAAATTAATTTAGTAAAAATATAATGTATGAGGAATTTGTAATTTTAAATAATACTCATTTTAAAACGAATCACAACCTTATCCAACTTCTTCTGACTCTAAGCCTACTGACCATTTGTCTTACAACACTTTCGTGAGAGTGTTCGTCATATTTCTTACTCACGTACACTTAAAACGTAAAAACTAAATTAAATAACACCTAGTGTGCTGATTTCTAAACAGCGTAAATTACTAGAAAACATATCAAAATAACCCTAAACATCTAAAATTCACAATAGAGGTTTACTACTAATACTTTAATATTGTCACTGTGTTTAATGGAGTCTCACAAATAAGTAATACACAATATTTCATCATAAGAATTAGTTATTTTAAAGATTATTACTTAGAAAAATAAACCTAATAAAAAAAGTCGGATCATTATTATTATTACAAATAGATAATTCTATACGAGTTCTAGTTAAGATATTGGTCTAATTAAACTATTGGCATATATAGTTTATACCAAGCATAAGAATTGTCATATGAAAATAATGAAAAACTGCATTTAAAAAATATAATGAACTATCGTATTGTTGAAAATAAGGTCTATTATGTTTAAGAGAAATGTGTGAGAATATTAGAGACTTAATAGAAATTTAATAACTATGATAATTCTTTATAGAGGAGAGAATTTTGTAGGAGAATTCTTTGGGATTACATCTCTATTTATACTACTTTAAGAAGAATTCTAGACACACTAATTTTAGAGAATTCTCAACTCTAGAGATCCAAAGAGTATTCTAGAAAATATTACAATTATAAGAAATATCTAGACACTCCAAACACTATAAGAATTTTCTAGAAATATTATCCAAAATTACTTAAGCCTAAAATAACTTAGCCCAAATAACCATATAATAAAGTTAGGCCCAAATCAAATTTATAATTTCAATATCCCCCTTAAATTTGATTTGTGACTCCAAGCATACTTCTTAGCTTCACGAAAGTTTTCAATTTGAGTGGCTTGGTGAAAATGTCGGCAGCTTGATCTTGATGACATCACATACTTCAACTTCACCTTCTTCTTCTCAATGCATTCTCTTATAAAGTGGTAACGAGTGTCAATGTGCTTACTTCTTTCATGAAAGACCGAATTCTTTTCTAAAGAAATTGTTGATTTATTATCAACACATATTTCCATAGGATCTTCTTGTATCATTTTTAATCTTGCTTTGTATCTCTCCACGTCTCCTTTTTCATTCTTTTTCGCCTTATACACCCATCTTGCTTCGATTTCTTTGTGTCCTCGTGGAAGTGTAGTGAGTTCTCGTGTACCATTATTTGTGATTGACTTGATTTCTTCATCCATATCATCTTTCCACTTTAAATTTTCAATAGCTTCTTGATAGTTTAGAGGCTCGCAATCACCAAAAAGACAAAAGAGGTTAATTTCGTTTTGGTTTTCGGTTACCTCATAAAGCTCTTCAATTCTCCTTAGTTGTAGTGTCCTCTCACTTGAACTTGTTTCATTCAACCTTTGTGACAGTGAGATAGGTGGTGTACTTTGTCCCTCTATCATTGGTTGTTTCATTTCATCATCTTCTTCAAAATAAGGAAGAAAATCATACATGTCTTCTTGAACACTCCAATCCCAACAATCTTCTTCGTCAAAATCTACGTCACGACTTATGATGATCTTTCCACTATTTGGATTATAGAACTTGTACCCTTTGGAGCTTGAGTCGTAACCCATAAACACATATTTCTCACTTTTATCATCGAGCTTTGTTCTCCTTTCATCTGGAACGTGGGTATAGGCAATGCTTCCAAACACTTTAAGGTGAGATATCCCGGGCTTCCTTCCACTCCATGCTTCTTGTGGTGTATTCTCATGCACACTTTTTGTTGGGGAAATATTTGTCAGATAAACTGCACAAGCCACTTTTTTGCTTCAGCCCAAAACTCTTAGGCATTTTCTTGCTCTTGAGCATGCTTCGCACCATGTTAAGTATGGTCCGTTTGTTTCTCTCTGCTACTCTATTTTATTGTGGAGATCTTGGCACTGTCATTGGGAGACAGATTCCATGGTCTTAATAATATTTATCGAACTCATTTGAAGTGAACTCTTCTCCTCGATCAGATCTCATGGCCTTAATGGAAAGACCACTTTCTTTCTCAACAAGGGCTTTGAACTTCTTAAAGTTTTCAAACACTTTTGACTTCTCCTTCAAGAAATAAACTGATTTTCTTGAATAATCATCAATAAATAGGAGAAAGTACTTATTTTTACCAAAAGAGTTGGGTTTAATTGGTCCACAAACATCAGTGTATATGAGTTCTAGCGGCTTTGTCGCTCTTGATGTTGATTCCTTTGGAAATATTTTTTGGAATTGCTTCCCAATTAGACATCATTCGCAAAGTTTGCCTGGGTGGTTGATGTTAGACAAGCCTCTCACCATCTTCTTCTTCGCCAAACATTCTAAATCGTCGAAGTTGAGGTACCCGAATCGTAGATGTCATAGCCACGAAGAATCGGTATAGCAAGCCTTGAGACACTTTGCCACATCATTTTGAATGTTCAAGAGGAACATTCTATTATTTGACATAAGCACCTTAGTAATCAAGTTATGCCTACAATCTCTTAAGAAAAGACTATATTCTTTCAAGTGGATATCATAGCCTTTCTCTAATAATTATCCCAAGCTCAAAATATTATTCTTCATTTAGGCACATAGTAGACATTGGATATGAATTGATGACTCCCATTTTTCAAGCGTATGAGAATTTTACCTTTGCCTTTGATCAGTATCTTCCAAATGAGACATCGCCAATTGTTGCTTCATTGATCTCTACGAACATGCTTCGATCTCCACACATATGGTTGCTTGCACCAGTGTCTAGATGCCACTTTTTTCTTTTCTCTTCAACTTGATTTTGGCACGCGAGTAACAAAGTTTCTTCTTCTTCGCCTCTTTCTTCTACAAAGTTAGCTTTCTCTTCAACCTTCTTCGAGAATCTACACTTGGATGCATAATGACCAATCTTGTTGCAATTGAAGCACTTGAGTTGTGATTTTTCACTCCTCGACCATGAAGTTCCTCTTCCACGACCTTATGTTGCTTGTGGATTCCAACTTCTTTCTATATTGTTGAAGTTGTTGGAGTATTTGTTGTAGACACATCTTCCTTCTCCTCCATATCCTCGTCCACGTCCATGATCTTGGGCACGACCTCATCTTCTTTGGCTCTTGTAATTCACATAGTTTACTTCCTTTACATTGACTTGTAGTAGTTGCTCCATAGCCTCCTTTTGTTTAATTTTTCTCTTTTGTTTTTCTTCGTATGCTTGTAGGGTACCCATGAGTTGCTCAATTGTCATGGTCTTTAAATCCACGTTTTCTTCAATGTTGGTAATAATGAAGTCAAAACTTGGATTTAAAGTGCGAAGTATTTTCTCCATGACTTTCACCTCATCAACATCTTCACCATTTATTTTAAGTTGATTGACTACGGCCAATACTCGAGAAAAATAATCTGAAATTGACTCGGACTCCTCCATAAACAAACGTTCAAAGTCACCTCTAAGAGTTTGAAGACAAATCTTTTTTACCTGTACAACTCATTTGTTGCAAGTTTGAAGCTTGTCCCATGCTTCTTTGGCCGTCGTTGCGTTGGATATCTTCTCAAACGTATCTTCATCCACCGATTGATAAATGAGGAAGAGAGCTTTCTTGTCTATCTTTCTTGACTCCTTCAACGCCTCCTTTAGACCTTAGCTTAGAGAGGATTCATCTTGCTCCTTGAAACCTTTCTCAACGATATCCCACACATCTTGAGCTCCTAGTAGCGCCTTCATATTGTTACTCCAATTATCATAGTTGTTCTTTGTGAGCACGACATTTGGAAAGGGAAATCACCATTCACCATTTTTTGAGGATCTTGAAGCTCTGAAACCACTTTGTTGGAAATAAGGCCTTTTATGTTTAGGAGAAATGTGTGGGAATATTAGAGGTTCGAATAGAAACTTGATAAATAGGAGAATTCTTTATGGAGGAGATAATTTTGTATTTTTGCTTGATACAAATGTGTGAGATTACATCTCTACTTATACTACTCTAAGGAAAACTATAGACACACTAATTTTAGAGAGTTCTCAATTCTAGAGATCCAAAGAATATTCTAAAAAATATTACAATCATAAGAAATATATAGACACTCCAAACACTACAAAAATTCTCTAAAAACATTATCCAAAATTACTTAAAACCAAAATATCTTAACCCAAATAACCAAATAATAAAGTTAGGTCCAAATCAAATTTATAATTTCAACACATATTATACTGTATCATCCTATACATTTTCAAGACTTATTAATTAGTTTAATAACTATGAATTAACATTAAGTTAGGAACATGTATGATGTATCGATAGTACTTGCATCTCTGCACCTTAGTTTAGTGCTCTTTGCCCTATTGCTCATCTCTGACCATCTAATATGGTCTGCAATTGTTGAGGTCGACAAGGGACAGCAATAGCTCCTCTCTGTATGAAACCATACTCTTCCCGAGCTTGATCTAGTAGTTCCAAAAATTCAGGATCACTCAAGTACTCCAATCCAATGATAAACTTTTTTATTTCTCCATTCTTCACTGCAACTACAGCAAAATATCCTTCCCTAACATCTTCTGCATCCAACTCTGCATTCAAACCGTGTCTTTTGTGTACAAAGTGTGAAATACCCTTTTGGATCTTCCCAACAAAAGAATGAATCATTTTACCTATTTACTGTTTATAGTATCTTAGATGTTTTACTTGGTGAACTTGAAAAGCTTCTAATATTTTGAGTTTGGATACTAGCTATAGTCTGAGTGTGGGTATTTATTTTGTGAAAATGCTTAGTAGTTAGCGTGTGCTTGTAGAAGCCGTAGACGTGTATTCATTGTTATCTATATTATTAAATGAATATTATTGATAGGTCTAACTTCTTTGTTTCCCATACGCGCTAAGCAGCTTTTATTTTTAGAAGAATGGCAAGATTTTGTTGTCCCTTACTATTACTGTATAGGCATTAGTCATACAAATAGTAATATCCAAGAGTGTAATACAACAATACAACAATGTGCTTGTGTTGAATGGAAGGTGTCTTAACAGCCACGACCATTTTATTTTAAGATCAAACTTTATGAATATGCATGAAGCCTCTCATACTAGTATTTGAACTCAAGATGTGATGGGATTTTTATTTCTTATTGCATTCGAGTATATTTCTTAATAGATTCATGACAACCGAGGGCTAGAATTTGGAATTACAATGTTGGTAAAAATAAAGTAATTGAGTGTAGAGAGGGAGAGAGATACAAAGTTAAAGCGAGTATAATTGAGGGTGAGAATTTTCATTATCATTAATATTGATTGTGATATCTCTTGAATATTTATTCAAAATTACAACTAATTGGGATACAAGTAACAAAAGCTAAAAATTGAAATTAACTACCTGGAATCGGTTACGTAAAACCTATAACGGGTTAAGTTGTTTGCAAATTTAAAAAATATAACAATGGTAATCGATTACTGCAAATGTGTAACCATATACATTCTCGTCAAAATGACTTGTTTAAGCTTATTTATACTTTTCTACTCAGCTGTAACCAGTTACAGCATGTTAATTATCACCACCTTAATTCAAGTGCTTCAAGTCTCTCGTGCCCATGTTTATCTTTAATGTCTCGAACACTTCAAAAATGACTTCCTTAGTCAACAAATCAGGCACTTGATTTTCACTTCTACAATATCCCAATCTCAACTTTCCTTCACTAAAAAGTTCTCTCAAGTAGTGAAACCTCATCTCAATATGCTTGATCATCCCATATGCAATTAGGTTCTTAGTAAAGTTTATAGGGGAAACGTTATAAACCATGAGGGTTACAACGTCACCCTCTTTGTTGCCTAGCTCCTTCAATAGATTCATCAACCATACAACTTGGCACACACACAACAAAAATGGAATAATAGAGTGTGGAGAGGGAGAGAGAGAGAGAGAGATAAAGAGTTATAGAGAGTACAACCTTGGGTATTTATACAAAATTACAATTGATTTGTTAAGAGTTTTTAAAGTATTTATAGATTTTTAACCTGTTAACACGAGGATGTAACCGATTACAGGCATATAAAAGGATCTAATAAGCTATAAAAAACTGCTTTTGAGGTTGGTGTAACATGTTACGCAAATTCAGTAGTCGGTTAAAGTTAATAGTTATTTCTATTTTTTTAATGGAGCATTGTAATGCTTCCATTACACCAACTAAACCAAGATTGCGTCTATAAAAGAATGAAGAGGAGCATAACGTAGATCCAACTTAACATAGAAAGTTGATTGAATTATTGTGTTACTTGTGCAATACACAACTAGATTTGACATTTAGTGTCGGTATTACAAGTAGATTATATGGTGAGACCGGAGATATATCACTTGACAGTAGTTAAGAGGATCCTAAGATACGTCAAAGGATCTATTGGCTGCAAAATTCTCTTTCTCGCGGTGGATACTGGCTGAAAATGAAATTTGCTTGGTTTTTCCGAATCTAATTGGTACGGAGTTAAAGATGATTGAAAGTCTACAACTAAATACATTCGACGGAAAACCAATCTCATGGTGTTCGAAGAAGGAACCAGTAGTTGCAATCTCGTCTTGTAAGACCTAGTATATTTTCACTTAGTTATGTACGTGCCAAGTTGTGTGGCTAATCAATCTATTGAAAGAGATGGGCAACAATGAGGGTGAGGCTGTTACACTCTTGGTTGGCAATGTTTCTGCGATTAATCTTACTAAGAACCAAATTGCACATGGGAGGAGAAAGCAAATTGAGATAAGGTTTCACTACTTTAGAGAACTTGTTAGTGAAGGAAAGTTAAGTTTGAAGTATTTTAGTAGTGAAGACCAAGTTGCTGATTTGTCGACTAAGGGAGTCACAAATGATGTCTTCAAAATGTTGAAGATGAAAACGAGCATGAAAGACTTAGAGCACTTGAAATAAGGTGGTGTGTTAAGAGTTTTTGAAGTATTTCAAGTGTTGTAACCGATTAACACAGCGGGTGTAACCGATTACAAGCATAAAAAAGGGTCTAATAAAATATAGAAAAATGCTTTTGAGATTGGTGTAATTGTTACATAAAAGTAGTAACCGGTTAAATCTCCTAGTTATTTTTGTTTTTTTAACATCTATAATCAGTTACAGGTTTGTCTTAACCTGTTACAACCTCGAATTTTGACCTTTCTGGCTTTTGACTTGATGCTTATGTATCCCAATTATTTTATAAATACTATGATGGTATGTTAGTAATGTAGAATGAATAAAACCATAATCCTCTCTCTCTCTCTCTCTAGCTCTCTTCTCTCACTATCTCTTTCTCCATATACTCAAACAATTCATTGTTTAGCAATTATGTGATTGTATATGTTCCAACATGATTGAGATACAAGTAACAAAAGCTAAAAATTGAAATTAACTGCTTGTAACCGTTTATGAAAAACATGTAATCAGTTATAATTGTTTGTGAACTTAAAAAACATAACAATGATAATCGATTACTGGGAATGCGTAACCGGTTACACTCGACAAAATTACTTATTTCAGCTTACTTTAACTTTTATACACAACTGTAACTGGTTACTGCGAATGTGTAATCGATTACACTCGATAGAATGATTTATTTCAACTTACTTTAACTTTTATACAGAACTGTAACCAGTTACAGTCCCTAAATAACCGATTACAACACTTGAATTATTGTTTTCATGTAACACTTGAATTAGTGTTTTCACTCAATGTGTTTATCGTAAACTCGAGTTATTTAGATTTTGGCTCATGGTAAGTGCTAAGGATTTCTCTAATGTTATCAGTTGACTCCTTTCTTAAGTTTGGAAAGTTGAACTCCTATCTTCTCCTAGGATGAAAGCTACTCTAAGATATGATTCGCACTCGAGAAATGTGTTTTTGACGAAGAGTGGTTTGGACATTTAGTGGGTGCGTACATGTTTTACCATGACTCATGGAAATCCTCATGTCATTTTTTGTTACTTATGAGATAGCAACACATTTTTGTTATAGAATTTTGAGTCGGTGTTCTTAGAGAAACATTTTGTTTGTTAGAAATATTTAAATTTTTTGGGATAGGTCCATAATAGAATTGGTCTAACTAGCGTGTTTTGAACCCTACAAACCTCTACTAATACAAATTCAGACAAGTCAACAAAAAATGGTTCGTTTGGCCTACTAGCAAAAGGTTTAGAAGTAACTTTTCTTAAACTGTTGTAATGGTCATTGTCACACATATCTCTCGAAAGAGACCCCACCTTCTTCTCGTCAGACTCTAAAGCTTCAACGAAAACATCCTTAACCTCCTCCCTCACAGTCTCGAAATTGGGTTCAGATACATGATCCACCATATAAATATTTTAACCATCATTTCATATTATTACGGATACCTCGAAAAAATTATTCATATTTAAAATAACATTGAGATATCAATCATTTGATTTGTTTGACAATCACTTAGCCTAATAAATAATACATTAGCATTACGCTTCAACAAGTATCTGAATACCATGCAATATAAAAACAAAGAAATATAGGTATAGGTACGACATGTACAATATGCAATATAAAATGATGACAAATCAAATATGTTTGATTGATTAAACTAGACATAACACCATTGTCATATCAAATATAAAACATAATATTGTACAAATCTAACCCTAACAAGAGAAAACTTAGCCACACATGACAAATATAATTAGACAAAAGTGTAGAAATAGAACCGTTACAAACAATCTCTCTTACCAATTGCTCCACTTCAAAAGGATTTTAGTGTTATAACACTCTAGCTTTCTCTCAATAATATATTTTCTGTTATGAAAAATGATACCTTGGAAACAAAGTATAAATTGTTTCTTTATGATCAAGAAATAATTAAGGGTAGAAAAGATGGAAAAACAAGAACACAAAGAATGGTTATTAACTTCTATTGTTTACTTTCTCTTTAAATCAGATTACAAGTACACAAGAATAACAAATAACTCTCTCACCCTAAATTAGGATTTGCAGTATGCAATGATGAGAGACTAGTATGCTATTCATAATAAACCTAACATACTAAACTAATGGACTTTTTCACAAATACCCATTACAAGCTAATTTAGGGTACAAACTAACTTAAACAATTGGATATAACAAACATACACAATTCAATGCTAACAATCCTAGCATTCTTCGACCACTGCATGCTTGACCCTTCTTCGACTACAACATACAATACTTTGACACCAACATGTGAGCAACCTTCGACTGCATGCTACAACTCTGTCGAACTATCTAAACTAAGAAGCTACCTTCGACCAACTAGAGTTTGATTCCAATATCTCATAAATCTCCACCTTGGAACAAACTCTATAATATTGAAGAACAAACTAGCTTTCTTCATGCAGCTTTATCAACTACATACAGTAAAAACACTTGCAATTGGGTAATATCTTAGTGTTCATATCGGCAACATTATGATCTGTCAAAACCTTTAGCACTTGGACTTATCCAAGCTTGATTAACCCTCTGACTAAATGCAGCCTCACATCGATGTGCTTGGTTCACTCATGATAGGCTGAATTCTCTGGCAGGTGTATTGCAGTTTGACTATCACATTTAACAGTGATAACTCTACCTTTAAGTTTCAACTCATTAGAAAAAAACCTTCCAGCCACAATGCTTCTTTCACAA